TTTGTTTTTTAAATTTACAATAAAAGGACAAAAGAGGAAACTATATTAATTTATAGGCAGCCAATAGGCCCAAACACCAAAGCTATGGTTCAGTGGCTATTAATGCATGATTCTGGAAATTCTCAGATTTTATATTAATCAGCACCTTGCTCTTTGGGATGAAAGTGCTAACGCAAGCTGGGTTTATAATTAGGAGAAAGACGTTCCTCAATGCCTTTCTAAATTCCTTCTATTCCATAAAGCCCTACAGAAGTTCTAGCTCCTCTATGAAGCCTGTCACTATTATTCTATCCACAGTAGAATAGTAGAGAAAGATCTTTCGCTGAAGCCTTTAAATTGTTGTAGTACAACTATTTATAGTACAAACTAAATATTTTTAACATGATGTGAATGGTCTGTGGGTGTGTCAACTTAGCGAGCCTGTAGTCCCCAGTTAATGAAGCAAACAATAATCTAGGTGTTGCTATAAAGGTATTTTGTAGTTGTAATTAAAGTCCATAATCAATCAACTTTGAGAGAGATTATCTTAGATGGTCTGGGTGGGCCTGATTTAATTAGTTGAAGGATCTGAAAAGAACTGCTGAGGCTTCCCTGAAGAAGAAGAAATTCCATCTGTGGACAGCAGCATCAGCCCATGCCCAGAAGTTCCAGACTGTACTTGACAGCCTACTCTATGGATTTTGGACTTTCTTAGCCAGTCTCCACAACTGGCCAAGCCAATTCCTTATAATAAATCCCTTTCTTTACTTAAATTGAGATATAACTGACATATAACATTATATTAGTTTCAGGTGTATAACATAATAATTTGATATTTGTATATGTAGATGCTCATTCGCTTACGATGGGGTTACATCCTGATAAATCCATTGTAAACTGAAAATACTGTAAATCAAAAATGCATTTAATACACCTAACCTACTAAACACCATATCTTAAATGTGCTCAGAACACTTACAGTAGCCTACAGCTGGGCAAAATCATCTAACACAAAGCATATTTTATAACAAAGTATTGAACAGCTCATAATTTATTATGTGTATCACTTTCATACCACCATAAAGTCCAAAAATCATAAAGTGAACCATCATAAATTGGGGACTATCTACAAAGTGAAATAATCACCACAATAAGTCTAGTTAACATCCATCACCATACACAGTTAGAAAATTTTTTCTTGTGGTAACTTTTAAATCTACTCTTTAGCAACTTTCAAATATACAATACAGTATTAATAACCTTTTAATACATGAGCTCATTTTATCCTCACAACCACCTGATGAGACATATAGTATTATTAATCCCCATTTTACAGAGGCTAAATAACTTGCCCAGCTAAGGAATGGTGAATGTGGAATTCAGACTTGAAGCTCTTTAATTCCAATGCTGATGCTCTTAACCACTACAATAGACATGACCCCTTACATGCAGACAGAGAGGGAAAAAGAAAGATATACAGAGAAGAAAACTATGTCAGCTGAGATAGACTATGAATTTTAAACATAATTAAACTGCTTATCACACTCTGTTGATCACGTGTCATCCCGAACTCCGAAACAATGATCTCAGCTTGGAGGCAAAGCTCTAAATGGGACAGCCGCAGTCATCTTCTGGAGACTTTAATTGATAAGAAATGGAAGCAGAACATAATTCCAGCATAATTCAATGCTTATCTTACTAAAACTTGAAAATGATAAAAAAAAAAGTTTTCTGAGACTAAAATATATCTTTTCCTAAGGCTGGCTTTAAAAATAAATTGTAGTTGCTTTGCATTCAGGAGTTATGTTCTTGAAACTTACTGAAACTGGTAATACTAAGGTCAGTATTAAGATAGCACTAATATTACATAGGAATTGTTTGATTAGAACTAAAAAGCGAGCAGAAAAATATTTTTAAGGTATGTATTAAAGCTGCAAAGTGCTAACAAGATAGTGAAAAATTACTCAGTCAAGATCTGGGAGAGAATAAGATTCGAGAGAGGTGAGCCTTGCTTTGGTGGCTGCGTTTGCCTGGAGATGTATGACCTGAAATATACAGTCTTGTAGAAGATAAAAATCTAGACCAATTCCTACCAAGGGTGGGACCTTGGAATACCATGCTTTGGGCTGAGACCCTGAAGGACCAAACCCCAAGAGTAAAGGTGAGCTAAAAGAACCTCAGAAAGGTGAGTTAACTCTTATAACTTTCCCTTAGGGATTTTGCTGATACAGGCAGGCACAAGATTCTGAGAACCAGTACTGTATACTGCTTTTATAGGAAACTAAGGGAACCTCAAACATACAGCCAGTTATCTTGTTGGGATTTGCCAAATCTGAGGTTTTACAGAATGGGAGGCTAAAAATCTCATTGGAAAGTCTTTGAAAAGCAGAACAGATGTTTTTGCAGTCTCACAAGATACAGACTAGAATTTTGAACCTGCCAGAGGGAGACACCCCAATGAATTTGCAGGCTCTCAGCTGAAATTCCCAGAGGGCTATGTTCTTGGAATGGAAATGAGTCAAAAATAGCTTGAGCTTTACTAGAGGTGCAACCTAGCTCCCACTCAGCATAGCTCTGATCAGGTGATCAGCTACCATTATAATATCTGCCTATTAGAGAGAAGGGAAACTCATTCTGGAGGCATGATGAAAAAATTACAGGACATGCCAAAAGACAAAATGACATGACTAAAAACAAGAGCTAAACATGGACAATAGAAACAGGTCCACAGATGATCCAAATGTTGAAGTCATCCAAAAAGGATTTTATAACGATGTTCATGTTCAAGAAAATAAGGAAAAAGGTAGAGAAAATAAATAAAACAATAGACAGTTTCAACAGAGAATCGAACTGTATTTAAGAGAATCAAGGAGACAATATTACAGTTCTTCAAAAAGTTAAACACAGAATTACTGTATGATTCACCAGTTCCACTTCTAGGTATATACACCCAAAAGAACTGAAAGCAGGGCCTCAAACAGATACTTGCACACCGATGCTCACAGCAGCATTATTTACAATAGCCAGAAAGTGGAAACAACTCTACAGCTGACCCTTGAACACCATGGGTTTAAGCTGTACAGGTCCACTTTTACATGGTTTTTAAAAAGCTTTAATATATACTTCAAAAATATTCTTTCTGTTTGCATCTTAGTTTCATTAATTAAAATGAAATTAAAGAAAAAATTATGAGGCATTTCAACTGTAATTCATACTCTAAACATTAAAAACAGATCACGTACCAACATATGCCCTCCTTTTGAAAGTTATTGTATTAACGTTAGATAAAAGCATATCTATTTCATTTTGGCTTAATTTCTTAGAACAGTATTTCTAATATCACCAGATGATGTTATAGGTCTTCCTGGGAGGATTGTGGTGGGAATGGATTTTTTCCTAATCAAGTATGTTTGCCTTCTCTGGAGACATACAATGCACATTAGTATATTAAAGATCTTGAGAAGTCCTCAGTAAAGTCAGATATTTATCTTTGTTTAACCCTCTGTTTTCAAATATATCTGACCATGGAAATCTTTCTTTCTATGAAACGCCTTTTAATGTGCCCCAAGGTACCTACTTTAAGAAAAATGGCCTAGAAGAAGGGAAATGAACATTTTAAATAGTTTGGTTATTTATATGTTATTATAGTTAATTATATAACTTCTGCTTCTTTCTTCTTCATTGAAGGTGAGTTTTGTGAGAGGTTTTGTTAGCTTTATTCAACTTTGTCAGTCTTTTCTGATACAGGGTAGCAGAAAGAGCATGAGCTTTAAATAGAGACCGAATTAGGATCAAATTCTGGCTCCACATCACAAGCAAATTCTTCTCTCTCTTAGTCACACTTGTTTATTTGTAAAATGAGCTTTTAGGGGGCTTTCAGAGTATTATCTTAAGTATTAATGACCATGTAAAGTACCCAATACATTGCCTGGCTCCAGGGGTTCCTCCTATCTTAAAGTTCCTTATGGATGTAGAATGGCCAACTGGAATGAACTTAAGATTGACATCTTTGAACCTTGATTTGGGACTCTCTTTACTAATTAATTCCCTTGCTTCTTATATTTCTTATATTAGTAATTTCTCCTTTGCCTAGTTAAGAGGCTGTAATACTCCTGGGGAATAATTTTTTTAAAAAAATCCTGACTGATAGGAGTACCTACACTTAAATTGATTTGTATTTTCTTAGAATGTTGGAAAGCTCAGATCTCCCTCTTATGTTCCTATAATACTTGCTAATGTAATATTTATCTTACTTTACTATAATTATTCATTTTTTTCCCTGATAGACTGTAAGTTTGTGTCTTGTCCCGTTACATGCACTCACCTAGCACCACTGGCCTGGGTTAAGAGTAACTACTCAATAATTATGGAACCTTTAATAAGTTAGAACAATTGGGATCCCAACAATCATTATTATCAAAAAATGTAATTATCAGATGAAACGGTTTAATATTATTTATAGCAGAAGATACTAGGAGAAAGCAAGGAGTTAAAATACAAGTGCTATGGAACCAATAATTATTATTAGAAATCTTAGACTGATAGAACAATTTTCCTGAGACATATCCAATCATTAGGATAGAAATGAAATAATAAATGTACGTATATGCATTTTAGATACATTTACAGGATTAGAGAATAACTCCATTTCTTCAAAAGACATGTTCTGGAAAAGGTTGCCTGTACACACTTTCATACTCTAAACATTAAAAAACCCATCTGATTAAACTAAACTTCAAGTATATTTGAAAAATAAAAATCCCTCTTTGTAATTAGGAAGCTCTCATACTAGTCTGTATTATATATTTAGATTTTTGAATATCAGATTTTTCAAAGTAAAGAACAGTCCTATTAACTTGGTCATACAGAAATGTCAAGAAGTTCAGTACAACTTGAGGGTCAAATTAACTTTTACTTTTTGAAAATAATTATTAGTAAATATAAATAGTAAATATAATGTGTTATTAATATAACCTATTAATAGATATTTTTCATATACTAGGAAATAAAAAAATACTTACTATTATTTTCTTACAGTCCTTTCCTCTGCACAGTTCTGTATAGGTGGAGTACTGCACATATATTATCCAGCTTCCAACAAAAACCACCAACCAGGAAAAGAAAAGATATTTCATCCGCACATATGAGAAACGAGCCTGTGAGTAAAAGAGCACATAATAATCATTCATTCAGCATTCATTGTCCTAGAACATGATTTTTCCACTCTTCCTGGAAAAACTCAATATATATTCTAGGCTTTCATATGGCAATTCTCCTAGAACAAAGTGTACTTTCACTGAGTCCAAACAGCACTGGTCTTAGAAAAGGAAGCTCCTTAGTCCTGCCAAGGAAAAGGGAACAAAATACCCTTTAAAGTGTACAACCTTTCAAACACGAGTAGCATTGAAGTTTACTTATTAAGCACAAGCACGTGCACCATGCTACCCTGGGCATCCTGTAAAATCAGGTAAAGAGAGATACAATTCCTATTTATACAAGCTTACAGAAGATTGTTTCAAATAAGAATCTTAAAGTTCTTTATGGATAATCATAAAGGTAAAATTGTATTTTAGAAAATAAGAACAGAGAATTTGGCTATTTGTCTAATATCTCACAGTGAGGTACAACCAGAATAAGAAAATAAACTTCTATTTCCCTGTTGTAGTCATTCCTTCTATTCAACCAACCAGATGCTTCACCTAATTGGTATTCTAGAGAGCTGAGAATATAACAACTATTAACGGCAAGTGACTGGAGAAGACAGGTTAAGATATATAAAGAATACATTATTTTTGTAAAGCTGCATAATGGGATCTTCTTTGCATTGTTTTGCTCCCAGAGTTCTGGTATCAAGTTGCAGCTTGGACTGGTTGGTGGCTTTTCTCCATCAACCTATCAACAAAATATTGATGCCACCAGTCTAATGTCAACATGTATCCCCAACTGGGAAGTGCAGTAAAAGGAGCAGCTTTACTCAGGTGAATAGTTTGCAAACTGGAGAACACAGCCTCCAGTGAAAAGTGAAGTGTGCTCCCCACACCCCAAAGGAGATGCTAGTTTATATGGAGAACATGCCTGCCCTGGTCCCTTATTGGTCCATTTCTATGCGCATGAAGCATCCAAATTTGCACAGTTTGATTGGTCCAAATAACACTGCCCTGCTTGTTCATAATCTCACGTCTTGATTGGTTGTTATGGAGCTGCTCTGATTGGTCAATAAAGATGCAAATGAGGATATAGCTGTACAGCTGTGCAGCTCCAATTGGACAGAGCAGGTCTTAGCCCATTGGTGGAAATATGATTCCAGGAACTCCTTTTATAACGTTTGTGCTCACACAGCAGGAACACAGTGCAGGAGGCTGGCAGCTCACTCTGCGGCTTTTCCTGATAAGTGGTGTGCTTTAGAGATGTCTGTAAACAACAGCTACTAGATTCTGGCTATAAATTTCAGCCCTGTTAACTATAAGGAGTCCTTTTTGGAGTCAAAAATTGACATTATAAAACACTTTAATCTTCAAAAATGTGAGTTGGTCAAGATAATCTGACATGTAGTTTTTGAGTCTGGAGCTCCAATGGTCTGGTTTTATAAACAGTAGAATTTAGGACTACGGAGAGAATGAAGCAGAATAAATTAAAGATAGGTAAACAAACAATGAAAGGCTAGTTTTGCTTTTACAATCATGAGCCAATTTCTCACACTAGGCAACAGTAGGATACTGTGAGCAGTGTGAGCACACAAAGAAAGCAGAAAGAGATGAAAGAAACAAAAAAGTGTACCTGCAGAAGACCATGAGTGCAAAGGAAAAAGAAACTCAGGAAATACTAAATTCTGTTAGCTGTTTATGGTTTAGATATCAGTCTACGAAGTTGACAGATGGTGAATTCTAGTACAAAAAGCTTGAGTACAACAAATTCACAGTTAAATGATAGGTCTTTGAGTGTCATTATTTAACTTATTAAAATATCAGAAAACGTCTTTAATGCAAGATATTTTTATATAGTCTAAATTAATCCAGTAAAAGTTTGGATAATTCCAAATTAAATCGCATACATGACAATGAGGGTATATACTAAGGAGTTTGTTTGAAAGACAATCAAGATTACTTGGCCCCAATAAGAGGTCTAGTCATCAGATAGGAATGGATATGTAATAGTATTATGAGGCTTAAATATGATTAAATGACATAATACCTATAGAAATAAGCACATTGCTAGGCACAGAGAAAATACTTAACAAATGTTAGCTAAATCAATATGCAAGGCACTGAGCAAAAGGTCAATAATGCTGTCATTATGATTTATCCACTGCTTTGTTTTTGGACTTGCCAAAAAGAAAACTGAATCTGAATCTGATCAAGCCTTTAGCTCCAACTACCAGTTTATAGAAAATGCAGGAGAAAGAGGAACATAAGTGACATTTAAATAAGTGACACTATTAGGATGCAATCAGCAAACTCTAGGCTGTGGGAAAAACTGCAACAAAACAACCCAGTTTCTTAAAGAAATAAATTATAAGTGGGAAAATAAAGAGAAGCTGAAAAAAACCAAACATTAAAAAATATTTAAGAAATAAATAATCACAATACATGGATCTTTTTTGAGTCCTGATTCAAATGAAAAAATGTGTGAGGGGGAATGACATTTATGGGACAACTGAAAATTTGAAGACTGACAGGATACTTGATGATATTAAAGAATAATTTTAATATTTTAGATATGATAATGGTCTGTAGTAATGTTTAAAAAAGAGCCCTAATCTTTTAGAGAAAGACACTGAAATATTTATCGATGAAATGATATGATATCTGGAATTTGCTTCAAAATAACATGGAATGGGAAAAGTATGTGGTATACAGTTAAAGCAAGATTTTCCATGAGTTGATAATTGTTCAAGCTAGGCGATGCATATCTGCCTTCTGTTGTATATGTTTTGCTCTATTGGTTTAAGAATCTTTCTATTGTACAAAACGACACACTGCCACACCAAAATACATCCTTCCCACACATTCAGTCAGCAACTATTTAATGACTGTCTACTATGTGCCAGGTACTGCCTTGGCACTTTCAGCACATCTCCAGTTAGAGACAAACACAATAAATCTACTATACAAGTACCCTTAAAACTGCTAGAAATGTCACTTGAAGGACTGTAGCATGGCATGATTTTACTTTTAGAAATCTAATCTTATAGTAACATTTTATATGATATTTTTGACACAGTTTTTAAAACAAAATTAATCTCAATTCTTTTAGTAAAAGAATCAGAGAAGACCTTACACAATTTTTTTCTTCCTCTTTCTGCCTTGCTCCACAGCAAGAATAAGTCACCAAGTAAAAGAAACCAACACAAACCTGGTAAGTAGAGCTCTCAGTCAGTGTTCAGGCTTTGGTCCTATCTTACCTTCTTCCGGACACCCACCTCTAGGAGTCTAGTGATGTCACCTGTCCTTTAGATTCTCCATCAATAATTTTTACTCAGGTTTTTGTACAAGTGTTCAATAAAACTAACACAAAATGCTTTCAAATGAGCAGTAGATTAATAGGTGTTGGGAGCTGAGACTTTTGTATATTTCTCCCTCCTGCATATATAATTTAATAAACTTGAAATTTGTTTTGCTTTTCTACATCACTCAAATAGCTACATTTTCGATTATCTCTGGCATATGTTTAAACTGAAAAACACCCTGTGAACTGGCTTGCCTGCTCAGTTCTCGTCATGACACAGAATCCAAAAATTTTGGAGAGAAGTCAGATTAATGACGTTCCCAGCAGGGCACTGGATATCACCTCTTGTAGACATAATGACAAAAGGAGTGAAACACATTTTTATTCCAGCATGCCATGGAAAATTACTGTGATTTTGAGGTAACCCAAAACAGGAGAAGGATCTTCATGTGTCCTTTAATATCTGCAGATCCTGCTATCTCATATTTAAAAATAATGACTGAAGAAAACAGCCATAAATGACATCTGCAGCTATTAACTAATTATATTTCCCAGTGTGGCACTCACTGAAATGTTTCCAGTGGTCTGTTCTGTACCAATTACCTAGACAATCTAGTCTTTGATTAAGAAATGTAGTTATTGTTTCTGACTTTTTTTATTTTTGTTGAACTATAGAACTATCCAACATACTGCCTAGCAGCATTTCTGTTCTGCTGAGTTTGTCCCCAGCTACTAATGGCACACTGCTTTATTCCATATTATGCTCCTGAAAAGCATGATAAAAATTTTAGTAAATATACTATAGCAGTGATTCTCAACTGGAGTCAATTTTGTCCCCAAGGGGAAACCTGGCAACATCTGGAGAGTGTTTCACAACTGATGAGTGCTATTAGAATCTTGTGGGTATAGGCCCAAGAGGGTGCTAAACATCCTACAATGCACAGAACAGCCCTCTCCCCAACACCAAAGAATTATTTGGCCCAAATGTCAATAGTGCTAAGGTTGAGAAACCTTGTATTTTCATTACATGATAAAATGAAAACAAAAATTATGAGGTCAAAAGAATCAAATTTACATGGCAATATAATTTCATTTTAAATTAGTCTTTAAGGCATAAACTAATTAGAAAAATGTAACCTCTGTCTGGAAATAACAGAAGTTCTTTATGACTAGAGTAAGTGATTAGCAATACTTTATGATAAATAAAGAAAAATCACTGGATAGAAAATATATAAATGATGAAACAAACTTTCTCTGCCTTTCCATTCTAAAGAATAGTGACATTTCTTCTTTTTTTATATCATTTGATCTCATTATGATACTTTATATTTCAAAAGAAATCTGAAACCTTTGATTTTGCTAAATAATTTTATAATAAGTTTCAAAAAATAGGCGTAAACAGGCAACATCAAAATTTAGCCATTTAAGACTATTACTATCTATTCTATATTCAACATCTTTCATAAACATATAAAGCACAAAGTCCCATTTACTTTACTCCTAAATAATCTCTATGTGGATGTTCTTAATTTTGAGAAGTAGGGAAGAAAAAGTTACCATATCTCCACTTTTACTCACAAATATTTTATTTAACATATTTAGTGGACTTGAACACTCAAGAAACATAATAGGTAAGGTTATTGTGAAACCTGAATACAATCATTTCATCATTTCATAGATAAAGCTGACAGACATGTTTGTCCATTTTATT